CCTTTCCCCCTGCCCTGTTCCACCTGATTCCTTCCCCCCTTCGTCTTCCCCCACACCAGAGCCGGCTCTGGCTTTTTTGCCGCCCCAGGCAAAAAAGTCTCCCGCTGCCCCCCGCCCCCGGCAGGGAGCACGGCAGGGGAGGGTGCCGAGCCCAGCCACAGCCCCGCTCTCCCCGGCCAGCTGGAGCACCAGGGGAGGGCGGCAAGCCCACCACAGCCCCGCTCTTCCCAGCCAGCCGGAGCGCCGGGGGGAGGGCGGCGAGCCCAGCCGCGGCCCCGCTCTCCCCGGCTGGCCGGAGCGCCGGGGGAGGGCGGTGAGCCAAGCCGCGGCCCTGCTCTCCCCGGGTGAGCGCTGCCCCCCCCCCAGGTGCTGCCCCAAGCACATGTTTGGAGGGCTGGTGCCTGGAGCCGGCCCTGCCCCACGCCCCCTTACCCAGACCCAACACGGGCACTCACTGTACAGGAATGCGCCCAGCACACAGAAGGGGAGCACAACTGGCACTAGGACCCAGGAGGAGTTGTTCAGCTTCAGAGTCAGTGAAGCCCAGATGCAGCCTCCTTCTGCTGAGCAGCTCTGCACTTGCAGAAAAGAACGGGGGGGGGGGGGCAGTGGCATATAACCCATGTGCCCCCCATGCCTTGCCTCTCTTTGGAGGGGGGCAGTCCCTCACCCGGTTGTCCTGTCCCCACGCAGCTTCCCTTTGCTTCCCTTCCATTTTCTGCAGGGAAACACAGGAATTCTGCAGGGGGCCGCAGTTCTATGGGCACGCAGTCATGCAGAAGCCCCCCAGGAGTAAGACCTGGTCTACCCTAGAAAATCAGGTTGGCTTAACTGTGTCAGTTGGGGTGCGAAGTGATGTAGTTAAAATGACCTAAGTCTCCTAGCTACTGCCTCTCGGGAAGGTGGATTATCTGTGCTGATGGGAGAACCCCTCCTATCAACATAGGTGGTGTCCACACTAAAACACTAAAGCTGCAGTGCTGCGGCTGTGCCACTGTAGCCTATCAAGTGTAGACAAGCCCTGAGACATCTCACCCTGGATGTCTCACCTCGCTTTCTTTCCCTTCTTTTTCACTAATTGATAGCTGAACTGTCCTCCTCATCGCTGAGGCTCACAATCTGTCAAATTCCTTTGTCATTTACCCCAGCATCCAGGCTTTAGGCAAGTCCTGTCAGTTCCTCCTCTATATTATATTTCCAAAACCCATTCTTTCCCTCTGTCACAGCTGATAAAACATATCCAGTGGTATTTCTGATTCATTAGGTGGCACTCTGTCCTCCAAGTCAATACATTTTCTCAGTCATTAGTCATCTATTGCATTGATTAGTGTAACCTTCTCTGCAGCATCCCTAATTTTTTAATCTCTATTCTGTCTAAAACTCTAGAGCTAAAATAACCCTTTCCCCACTACTCTGTTCCTCCCTCCTTGAATCCCTTCATTGACTTTGTCCTCCTTGCCCTATATGATTTAAGCTCTTCAGCCTCACCTTTGCATATCTATACAGTTCTGCGCCTCCTTACACTTCAGCTTGTTTCTTCGTACACTGCCCCTTGAATACTTCACTCTGCCCAGTCTGCCTTTTTTCCCCAAACGGTCATCTCAACATTCAGATCTCTCCTTCAAGCCCACTTCTTTTTGCCTACCCTTCCTTCACTACTAAGTATGATAAAGTCTTTGCCTGCCCACATACCATTTCTTTAATTGTCAGTACAGTGCAGTATCTAGATTGTAAATTCCATGGACATTACAATTTTTAAATGACATGTTTTGTGCCATGTGGTGCTATAACACCCAGTACAAAGAGGAGATTGCTTAATCCCATGTAACCCACCCCCACTTAGCTTTGCTAGTCTCATCTGAACTAACACACTCTACCTTCCCTTCCCCAACATCAGTTTTACTTCTTGCTGCCAGTGCCAGCAAACCTCATGCCTGTCAGCTTCAAACATTTTATATGTATTTCCAAGCTTTCAGTAAGACAGACAGTGAATCTTGTTGGAAGTCTGTCTAAGCCCCATGGAACAATCTATCCATTACAATTTTCCAATTCACTGCCAACCATATCTGCAAATATATACAATTACATTGATGTTCTTATTTTTCATCTTGTATGGAAAAAAACATGACACATGCGAACACAAGTGTTGCAGACCCTCATGTACAATTTAATATTAACCATGTAAAAAAATCCATTACATATTGGCTAGATGTTTCTTTCTGGAATCTTTTGTTCTGTGTGGATAATATACTTCATAAAGAGGATTGAACACAGCCTTTGGGGCTTCAAGTGCAGCCTTCCAAAAAGAAAAGCAGAAAAACAAATTGGACAAGCATTAAGAAATGCAAGCAAAGCAACTCAGCTACACAATGGCAGAATACTGCATCAGAAGGCTGGCGTGTAGGGATTCTGCTTCAGAGAGCCTTAGTCAAATCAGGGATTGTAATAAAGTTCACCATGTTTTTTTGTGTGTGTTATCTCTGGGTTTTGTGGATATTGTAAATGTGGCAATGGACAGCTTGTACTGTACTTCCAAAAACGGGGACTTTTTGGTGACAGGCAAAGCTGTATGGCTGATTTGGAAATGTTACTATTATACAATAATAATTCAGTTGTCATTTCTGACAGTCACCAGTTCCTCTGCAAATAAGCAACTTTTCTTGAGTTTGTGAGATGTAGCACTCAAATACACAAGCAGTGTAACATAGGTACCAAAATACTTACTCACATAGTGACAATGAAATGCTAAGGGATATTAGAGAGATTATCAAAATAAAGAACTCAATAATAGTGGGGGATTTCAATTATTCCCATATTGACTGGGTGTATGTCACCTCAGAATGAAATGTAGAGACAACATTTCTCGATACTTTAAATGCCTGCTTCTTGGAGCATCTGGTACAGGAACCCACAAGGGGAGAGGTAATTCTCGATTTAGTCTTGAGTGGAGCACAGAATCTTGTCCAAGAGGTAACTATAACAGGACTGCTTGGAAATAGTGACCATAATATAATAACATTTAACATTCCTCTGGTGGGAAGAACACCTCAACAGCCCAACGCTGTGGCATTTAATTTCAGAAAGCAATACTAAACTGCTCAAGATAGTTAAGACCAAAGCAGACTGTGAAGAACTTCAAAAAGTTCTCACAAAACTAAGTGATTGGGCAATAAAATGGCAAATGAACTTAATGTGGATAAATGTAAAGTAATGCACATTGGAAAAAATAACCCCAACTATTCATACAGTATGATGGGGGCTAATTTACCTACAACGAATCAGGAAAAAGATCTTGGAGTCATCGTGGATAGTTCTCTGAAGACGTCCACGCAGTGTGCAGCGGCAGTCAAAAAAGCAAACAGGATATTAGGAATCATTAAAAAAGGGATAGAGAATAAGACGGAGAATATCTTATTGCCCTTATATAAATCCATGGTACGCCTACATCTTGAATACTGCATACAGATGCAGTCTTCTCATCTCAAAAAAGATATACTGGCATTAGAAAAGGTTCAGAGAAGGGCAACTAAAATGATTAGGGGTTTGGAACAGGTCCCATATGAGGAGAGATTAAAGACGCTAGGACTTTTCACCTTGGAAAAGAGGAGACTAAGGGGTGGTTTGACAGATGTATATAAAATCATGAGTGGTGTGGAGAACATGAATAAGGAAAAGTTATTTACTTGTTTCCATGATATAAGAACTAGGGGTCACCAAATGAAATTAATGGGCAGCAGGTTTAAAACAAATAAAAGGAAGTTCTTCTTCACACAGTGCACAATCAACCTGTGGAACCCCTGCTTGAGGAGGTTGTGAAGGCTAGGACTATAACAGGGTTTAAAAGAGAACTAGATTCAATTCATGGAGGTTAAGTCTATTAATGGCTATTAGCCAGGATGGGTAAGGAATGGTGTTCCCTAGCCTTTGTTTGTCAGAGGGTGCAGATGGATGACAGGAGAGAGATCACTTGATCATTGCCTGTTAGGTTCGTTCCCTCTTGGGCACCTGGCATTGGCCACTGTCGGCAGATAGGATGCTGGGCTGGATGGACCCTTGGTCTGACCCATTATGGCATTCTTATGTTCTTATGTTCACACACCTCTGCTACATCATTGTACTTACCATCTTTGGATAGCATGTTTGCTGTATTGATTAGCTGAGGTTAGATTATAGCTGGCTGTAATGTGTCCACACAGAGGGATGATGAGGGTTGAGATTAGGCCTTAGAAATCATGGAGCACAAGTTGCTGAGAGGTGTCCAAAAAGGTCTGAGATTTTCATTGACTGCAATGGGGGTAGGATTTGGTTCATAAAGAAGAGACTCTTCTTAAAAGATTATTGTTGTTTTTTAAATCATGTAATACTTAAATTTGTGCTGCACTATATTGATTGTGTAAGAGAGAGTGCAGAATTGGAATGTGAAAATCGATCTTGACCTCTGTATTATTGCGTAAGTTTCCCAGAGTTACAGATCCAATAAAGAGCCGTTTTTCATCATTGTAACTTCATGAGATTGTGTATCTCAAAAGAGCTGAAAAGAGAATGAACTAAGATTGTCAAAAGAAACCTGTTCAAGCTGCCTAAACTTTGACAAATCAAGAAGAAATTCAGATGTATACTTTAGCAGGGATATGGGGTCTAAAGAAAAAGAATCAGGAAAGCACAAGTCATCTTTAGAATAGAAAAGAAAATTAAATTTCCAAATGCATTTATTAATGAACATGAAATCCTTCAGGAGTGATTTTCAAAAGCAATTGCATTTATATAGTTTAGATGTCTATTTAGTTACATATGAAAATGAGAGAACTAATCACATAGTACTAAAAAATACAGATATGAACTAGCGGTTGTGGCATTGGATGCTGAGTTCAAGCCCTCTTAAAAATCTGGGCTTCAGCCTCTTTTGGCTTTAGTAATGGGGAATATTTATGTTTAAATATCTTAAAGCCTGTTGTCATGTCACTATGGAAAGAGCCAAGGCTGTTTTGGTTTTTTTTCAGAGGAGGCTGACTGAATTCACATACGCCTGGAACCAATATTAAGTTTTCTTCTGACCAATTTCACTTCTACTGTGTTCCACTATACAGTGTTAGAAGCTGGAAATTGAACTGTAACAAAGAAGTAGTTCTGGGAAAATGAAGGGAATGTTTCCTAAAAGCACATACTGTAAGTATGCTAAACAAAGCAATGCATTAATAATAAGCTGATTGGGAGAAATACAGATAACAAAGCATGCTGATGTGATAGCAAATGTGTGTACATGCTGCCATCTAATGTTTGTAAGAGCAAGTGTCAGCACATCGTCTGAAGAACATATTGTATAGGATAAATTTGTTAAGCCGTAACTGTGGCATCCTTCTCTTCAGTCTGTTTAATTGGTATGAATCTATAGCTGGCTCTTACAAACAAACAAAATTCTTGAAAATTTACTTTGTTTTATCCTTCAAATTATTGTGAACACTATTTGCAAACAGTTATATTCATTGTTATAATGATTTCCATATTAAAGGTACCCAGTAAAAATATGGAGGTTTTCTTCTAAAAGCTTGTCCTGCAAATTGAGCCTGTGCTCTGAGACAAGCTGAGTGCTTCTCATCTTATACATCATCACCACTAATAAAGTTTCTGTAGTCCTTCACTTATATTTCTGCAACTCCATTGTCTGCAATTTATGATAGTCCAATGATACAGTAATTGATTGATGACTGCCTGGAAATAATTATGTTCATGATGCATAATATGGAGCAGAATCTGCAGCTCATAGCAGTGTTGGCTGTGCAGGGCTATGTGAAGTAAAGCAGGAAATGTTTGGTCCTGTAACTCAAGTCAGCAAATATGACTCTGAGCACACACATAGAGTAACCTAGTGAGTAAGAAGGTGCCATTGGTACAATAATTTTTCAGAGGAAAACTTCACTTTAATGCTTGAAGGTGCATTACCCCATCTAAAATTTTGACCCCGGAGTTGCCGATATCTCTAACATCCATGTGTTCAAACATACTTGAACTTTTGAGAATCAGGCTAGCCATTACCAGATTATGAACAAAGCCTGTGTTTAAATCTATTCATACCTGAATTTTTAAATTTCTAATTCCCATCCCACCCTTTAAAAACAATAATTTTGAGGAAAGGAACAATGTATCCCCCTCAATATCTATTAGTGACGTCTACTTTTAAAGAGTCTTTATGTATATTATTGTGACATTACCTAATATTAATAAAAAGGGCAAAATTTTGGTGGAGCTTCTGTCATTTCCCTCCAAATTGCTAGGGGATCCTCATCTAACAGTTTGAGGAAGCCCGCAGACCATGTCACTGTACACATTCTAGTTGCCAATTGTAGGCAGGGCAATAAAATCATTTAATCAACAATGTAGTGGTATCATTTCATACTCAGGTAGGATTTTCTTACCTCCTGTACTCAGTCTACAGATGTAGCATTTCTTAAAAAAGAAAAAAGCAGAAACAAAAACCTATTTTCTTTACTGCTTCATCACTTTGCACCAGGTTCCTAGGACTATCCCCAACCTCTCTTGAATTCTCTAACCCATGTACTGCACAAAAAAATTTTTGCTATGTTTTTAGGCCTGAGTCAACAGCATGAAAATTATTCCGTTTGTGACTCATTTTTTTGTCGTTTCATACAGAATGAAAGTAAGCAAGCTACCCATGCATGGAAATGAAACTATGTATGATACAGATAGATATATTTCTCAGCATGTGGTAGGATATTAACATGCAATGAACTATAAAGATGGAATTGCAATGTCATTTTCTTAACGAAATTTCCAGTTTAGAAAAAAAACTTTGTGCATTTTTTTCATCTTCAAAATATTGGCCCGCTCCAAAACGAACAAACAAGCCTGCAAAATATTATCAGCTGTTAATATAAAATGAATAATTAAAAGCATAAGAAAGCCAGGTTAAAATGCAATGTTTTCCTGCTAGAGGGAAAAATAAGCTAGACTCCGTGATTTCTATCAAAGACTCGTCATACTAGTCCACTTGTTTTCCACCAAATTTCACTGGAAAACAAATTACTGGTATTACAACCATTGCCCATTTTGTGTTACATTCTGAGGACAAAATTTGGTAGAGTCCTGATACTTGTTTTCATAAATAATTAGGCTGGGAGAAAACAATGTGATGCTCTAAATATAGTCTCATTGGGCCATTTGAGCTGCTCAAGATCACCAAGTTATAGGAACAGCCTAGCTGGTCTCTCTGTTCCTCCACCATATCCCCTATACCCGGTATAGTGGTGGTGTAATCCTCCGATAGCTGGTTAACCTGGTTTCCTAGATACTTTGGCTTTGAGTGGTGGATGTGTCTCATTCATTGAATGTTGACATTCACTCATTTTTTATTTCCTTATTTGTTTTATCTTATCATATTGTTCTCATTCTTATAAGAGTTTAAAAAGTCTGTTGTACACACATAACTTCCTTATTCCAAAGCTCATATTTTGTCAATATGGGCTAATGTGGATGGTGAATTGTTTGCTATTATTAATACATTGTGTGTATGTCTCACTGTTATTTAGGATCTAGTGGAGTAATTCTTCAAAATATTTGATATGTTTAATCAGGTTGGCAGAGAAAATATGGATTGTAATTTTTACTTCCAGGGTTTTTTTTATGTTATTCATCCTGAAAGTTCTCAAAATGAATGTGCAAAATCTTTGACAAATTTCCACACATGCTTAGATCTATTTTCTATCAGCTTGGATGCCTATTGGCATGCCAATATTTATTTTTGTATGTGCAGTTTAACACTTGCATAGACCATTCTTTGCCTCAATTTATGAAAACACAGCCCCATGCAGTACGTTCATATATAAGGTCAGTGAGTGAAACTTGGTAGAATAATTAACAAAATGTAATGGACAGTATCTTAAAGAAAAATGGTCTTTCTGATTTAAACTAGACAAGGATATGAGCCACAAAAGTTGAATCTGGTTTCAGGTTCATAATCCCTCAAAATCTGAGGCTGTTTGAATTAGAGGTTTGTTTTTTAGTTTGTGGCCATCTCTAATTCAAACACATGAAGTAATGCACATGCTAATGGCTGTGATTTGGTCTCTAAGTGGTTGTGTTCTATACATATTCAAAGAATTTAGTAACGTATTTTTTTCTCCTAGGAGACCCTATATGTTTTTCTTCACGTGAAGCTCACTTTGAAATATTTGGATAAAATGAGATGCTTGCGGAAACGATCAGCAGTATCCTTCTTAGGAGTCCTTGTCATTTGCCTGCTGTTCATGAACTTGTACATTGAAGATGGTTATGTCTTGGTAAGTTTCTTAGGTGGAAGAAATGGGGTCATGGAACAAGCACACAGTACAAGGTACCACAAAGCTGCAACTCTCCCGTTTTAGTGGGCTGTTCATAGTAAAGTCCCCTCAGATTGATTCATATTAAGGGGACTTTACAAAGGCAGTGGCTAGCAGGAGAGCCTCAGACAGCGTTACTCCACACATGTAGGGAGTCAGGGAGAGCCTTACAGAGAGTTTCCAGTTCCCTACATGTGTTTTTTTCCTGCAAGGGAACTATTTGGGATATTATTTCTAAACTCCAACATATATATATAAAATATGAGAGGGTACCATTAAAATCTTGATGTTTTCTTCTTATAGAGGTAACATATATTACAGTCTTTCCCACTATACGTTTAAGGAGCACTGCAGATATTACAAGTAAGGTATCTAGCACAGTGTGAAGCCATGCCTCTTGAATGTTCTCCATTTTAGTCACAAAATTATCCCCATTCTGCACACATTTGGATTTCCCTCATTTTAATTCTTGAAAATTATTACGTCTGAGGTCAGGACCCAGGTTCAGTCCCTGCTGATAATGACCCACCCAGGAGTGTGGCATTACAGCTACAACTAATGTGACAGAAGACTCAATTACACAACAGGAATTAATCCCACATCATTTTCAGTTTCTTGCATGAATATTTATTTTTCTGTGTCTCATTTTGAGTCTCTGTCATGCCATGTGTCCCATATTTGGGCTTTTGGCAAGTGGAAAGGTATTGATGGGAACCTCAAAATTTTCATGGTACCTATTGTAAACTTATGATTTAAAGGTAGGATTTCCTAAAGCACCTGAATTAGTAGCTTCAATCACTAAACTATTGATAATGTGATGTAACTCTACAGTTTGTGCTGGGCATACGCCACAATTCAAGCTCAAATGACTTCTGAGATACTAATGGTAGTGTGGATGTTGAGAGTTGGACCAGGCCCTATGAAAGGAGACAACTGTTTAAGGCCAAGCTCTTGTAGTCATATGAGTAAAGATAAGCATGAAACAGCACAATCTATGGGACAGGGTATTAGATTTGGAGTCAGGAGACCTGATTTCTCTCACTAGGTCTGCCACTGACCTGCTTGGACAAATCACAAGTCACTTTACTCCTCTGTACCTCTATTTCCCCTCCCATTCGTTGTCTTGTCTATTAAGAACATACATTGTGGGGGGCAAGGGAGGGTACATTTGTGTCTGTTACTATGAAACTAGCACAATGGGTCCCACTCAGCCTGTAGTCAGTACTGTAATACAAGTTATAATAAATGTGTATGGATTTTCAATATCAGGGCCAGAGACATTACTAGGCAATGTCCAATAATGTCAAACTTATGCTAAATTGAAATAGTGATTTTAAAAAAGTTAACAGGTGATATTACTATATTATCACTGCTAGCCAATCCATTTTCAAGTAATCCAAAAGAGAATCTCTGTTTTCTGGTATGCCACTCCACTTTTTGATATATCGCTTCCTCTAGTGACCTCGTTTGCATTGAGATTTTTTACAGTATCTTATTTATTCATCATCTCTTGGTTATGATAAAATTTGACCTGGCTTATACTATATTTTCTCCCAGTGTCATTCTCCCTGATGTCTCTCTTGCTTCTGCTAATTGCTACAAATTCCTCCCCCAGATGCTTCTGAAAGTGCATCTTTTTGGTTCGTTTTTTTAAATCCTTTCCTGTCCTGTTTGCCGGCTCTCGCGATGTCTTATTCTTAATTTGTCTTTTTTTTTTTTTTACATTCACTTTCTTTCATTGTTTCTCTCATCACAAATTTGACATGTCTGAGCTTATGTAGCTCCCAGCCAAGACTTTTACTTTCTCCTGACAGTTTTCCCAGATCTCCTGATACCTTTATGGTCCATCGACCATTTTTCAAATGTGTTAGGCTGTTGGCTTTTTTATTTTATTTTATTTTATTTTTCTACATCCCTGACCATGTTTGACGGCTCCCCTGGTCCATCTGATGTTTTCTTTGCTAAGGTAGAAGATCAGCAGTTTAAATGTGGGAGTTTAGAAATAATATCCCAAATAGTTCCCTTGCAGGAAAAAAACACATGTAGGGAACTGGAAACTCTCTGTAAGGCTCTCCCTGACTCCCTACATGTGTGGAGTAACGCTGTCTGAGGCTCTCCTGCTAGCCACTGCCTTTGTAAAGTCCCCTTAAGTTAGCTGATGAGGGAATGAGGCCCATGGCTTCAGTCCTTCCCCAGCTACCTTTCTCAGATACCCAACCCAATGGAGAACAAGGCTATGATTTCCCGTCCCCCACATCTAATGTGAAATTCTTAGTATTATTCATTAACGTGAACTGTCAACGGGTGGCTGGCCCCTTTAATTGAAGCAGGTCCAGCTCCCCTGTCCCAGAACGGTTGCTGCATATGGGTATGTTTACACTGCAATTAAACACCCAGGTCTGGCCTGCGTCATTGGACTCACAAGGCTCAGGCTGTGGGGCTGTAAAATTGCAATGTAGATGTTCAGGAGACCCACAAGGGGCAAGGACCCCAGAACTGGGGCCCCAGCCTGTGCCCAAACATCTACACTGCAGTTTTAGAGCTCTGCAGCCTGAGCCCAGTCATCTGGGTCAGCCAGGGATGTTTAATTGCAGAGTAGACACAGAGAATTTGGCTAATCGAGAGGGCAGCACCGGGGCTATGTAGTGCTAGGTTGTCAGTAAGGATGGGGGAGCAGGAGCAGTAGGAAGACCCCTGGGACGGGAGACAATGGGAACTTGCTGGGGAGAAAACCCAGGGGAGGTGCTCATCTAAAAAAGCAAGGAAGGAATTTTTTAGTCCTTGCAGGAAGGACTGAAAGAGGCCAGGGGGGAAATAACCTTGGAGCTGTAGCCCAGGGTGAGCTGAAGAGCTGTGCCTGTGTTTGTGTTTGGAAAACAAAACCATGCCTGGGAAGAGAGGCTTGGAATGGCAGTGGGTCTTTGTGGGCTGGAGAGAAGCCAGCACCTTACAGAGACCATTTAAAAAAAAAGGGGTGGGGGGGATGTTGATTTTGGGGGCTTTCAAATTTCATTTGGAGTCTCTTGCATGTCTCCAGTAGAGTCCACTCATATTGCTGCGTAAAAGTGCTGACTCTCTTGTGGATGTTGAAGTGGGAACTGCAATCTCCATTTCAATGCATGAGCCCACTGGGGGATAGTGCAGCAAAGACAACTTTGCTTAAGCAGCCTTAGTGATACAACTACAGTTCATGTACGTGATGTGCAGCATTGATGCACATTGGCAGGGAAATGTGGAGATACTGAAATTGCAGCTGTGTGTGCTGATCCTGATCAATGGATCCAGAAACTTTCATGAACACTAAATTCACTTAGACTGGATCTCAGAATATGCATGGTTCAATGCTGACTTTAAGCATATACTGTGGGTTGTAAGTGATAGGGAGAAGGGACCGTGTCTTTATTTCTATTGTAAATGTAAGTACCCTTTGGGGGCACTGTGAAAGTAATAACAATATTGCATATGGGGATCCTCTGAAGAGCAAAGTGTCTCTTGAGAGGCAATTAACCCCCTCAGCTCTCAGGAAAGTTAGGGGAATCTCACAAGGTCAGTCAAATGTAGTACAAAGTGTATATGGTGCTGACTGCCTGCTTCTTCCCCTGCACTTACTTCCCTCTCTGGGTGCACACTGTTTTCCTGATTAATGGCTGAAAACTAGGATCACCACAGAAAAATCAGGAGACTGAGTAGCCAGCAAGTCTAGTGGATCAGCTGTATGAACATCTGTTTGGTAACCCCCTGAGGTCAGGGTATGGACTCTAGCTAGTCCATTGATTTACATTCTAATCTGGAAAGTGATAAACATAAAGCTTTGTTTCATAACTTATCAGTAAATGCAAGGTAGCCTAGCAGCACTAGGAAGAAATTACCCAGGGAGACCTTGCAGAATGAGAGAGCATAACCGTTCAGGTAGGTGCATCTGGATGTTAGCCAAGAGAACCTGACTCAACTCATAAATGGATTATTTATTTCTTCTATAAAAGAAAAATACTGAACTTAACATGAACCTGAGATAGGTTACTGGAAGTGTTTCTTACATCGCTGATTGTGAACCAGAATAACATTGAAATAAATATTGTTTATTTTTTTGTCCTTTCTGCTTGTGTTGGCAATATTATTGTTTATTGCATAGTGCTCTCTTTTAATCAAAGCTCAAGTCACTTGTGTTGTATTAATGTATTATAGCACACGTGTGAAACTGCCATATACTTTTCTTACTCTTCTCAGGGCCAAAATCATCCAATGTGAACTATAAAAGCATTCCTAACGCTATGTCAACTCCATGACACCACAGCTCCAATGGAAAATTTTCTTCTTTGCATAAGCATTAAGAGACAGATGGTGTGGGTGCGACACTGTGTATGCCATAGTGTAGGGGTGGGCAAATTTTTGGCCTGAGGGCCACACTGGATTTTGGAAATTGTATGGAGGGCCGGTTAGGGGAGGGGGGCTTGGCCCGGCCCCCACCCCCTATCCCGCTTCTGGCCCCCTGACGGCCCCCCGGACTCCTGGCCCATCCAACCCACCCTGTTCATTGATGGCCCCCCTGGGACTCCTTCCCCATCCAACCACCCCTTCTCCCTGACCGCCTCTGGAACTCCTGCCCCTAACTGCCCTCAGCTGCCCCATCCAACCCCCCTTCCTTCCTGACTGCCCCCCACGGACCCCTGCCCCCATTTAACCCCTGTTCCCTGCCCTCTGACCACCCCTACCCCTATCCACACACCTGACCACCACCCCGAACTCCCCTGCCCTCTATCCAATTCCCCCTGTCCCCCACTCCCTGCCCTTTACAGCGCTGCTTGGAGTACCGGTGGCTGGTGGCGCTGCAGCTGCGCCACCCAGCTGGATCCAGCCCTGCACCGTGCAGCACAGAGCACCGGGTCAGGCCAGGCTCTGCAGCTGCGCTGCCCCAGGAGCTCGCCACCCCACTGCCCAGAGCATTGCGCCAGTGGTGCAATGAGCTGAGGCTGCGGGGGAGGGGGAACAGCAGGGGAGGTGCCGGGGGCTAGCCTCCTGGGCCAGGAGATCAGGGGCCAGGCAGGAGGGTCCTGCAGGCCAGATGTGGCCCGCAGGCTGTCGTTTGTCCACCTCTGCCATAGTGGTATGGAGAGCCTCAACTCAAAGAGAAATGGGCGAGATGGGAAGGAGGCAGGGCCATAACCCTATCCTTTCTCTGCACCAGCCTATTTTGGTGGTAGGGCACACAGTGGGTGCAGGCACCAGCATCTTTCAGCATAGTACAGTTTGTGCACTTCCCCTGCACATCAAGGATCTGGGGAAGGAATGGTCTGTACTCAGGAAAGTGCCAAAGTGGTACAGTCTTGCCTTAGGTCTGAGAATATTATTTCATGTTTCATCTGCAACAGTTTCTAATATCACAAAAAACAAAAGTTAAACACTTCCCCACTGTACTGTCGAGGGAGATTATGTCCTACTTTGAATATAGCAGCACTTTTCTGGCAATACTGTAGTGCTCTTAATTCTTCTAGAAAACTAGATCTTCAATGTTTCTGTGCCAAAGGGCTTTTTTCTCTTTCCCAATTACTCTTAATCTGAAACTATATGATAGATTTATTGTAACCAAAAATATATAATATTCAAACAACAGATTTTTAAAATGAGGTGAGATTTAAATGTTTTCCAGAAAACTAACTTTGAAAAAGTTTATTCTTTGAAATTTGTCTGCCCCCCTTGTCTGTTTGGCCGGCATTCACAAATATATTTCTCCCTGTGTATTTCCCCTCCATGGGCTCTCTCTCATTCTTTCTCTTTTCATCTTACTAGGAAGGGGACAAGCAATTAATCAGAGAAACAGCCACACACCAGCTTAATTCAGAGCGCTATGTTCACACTTTTAAAGACTTGTCAAATTTCTCAGGATCTATAAATGTTTCCTATCGCTATCTAGCTGGCACACCTTTGCCAAGGAAAAGTAAGTAACCAGAATCTGATTTTCATTAAATGAAGATGTTACCTCAGATGTTTTTTTACATAAATTAATTATTTCATTTTAGAACTGTGTGAAAACTCTTTGACCTACAGTGACATTCACAATGCTGCCTGTTCCATAGATTTCCCATGGTACTTCTGCACAGGGATGATACAGGGGAACAATGCAGGTGCACTTCTGGGTCTCCATGGATTGAGATGGGTAGAACCACTGAATCTTCACTTATGTGGTTCCTATAGCTGGGAACAACCATATATAGGGCATGAAGGTCATTCCATAAGCTGGGACCATAGACGACTCAGCCACAGCACTATAGCCTGCAGGGCGGGGTAGATTTTAAAAATCTACCCCTGGGGCGGGGTAGATTTTCCTGCATTCAGGCCCTAGGTAGGACAGTTCCAAATAGTCTGGTTATTCTGACTTTATGCAGTTGGTCTAATAAAAGATATTGTCTCACCCACCTCATTTCTCTAATATTCTCACTTTAGGCAGGAGTCAAGACTTTCATCCGCGCACTGAAACATGCCAATATTTGGCTTTCGACAGGTCACCTGGGGGCACCAAATCAATAATTTCACACACAAACAAAGGAAATGAGGGTCAGAATGGAGAAGTCCAAGCATATGTCCAATGCATAAGTCCAAGCACCGAGAGAAAAATAAGACATCTGTGAGTTGTTGGTCTTCCTAGGACAGGGTTGCAATGTAAATTTTAGTTGAAATAAGGTTTGAGAAGTTTGGGGTTGTGTAGGCACTGCTGATGACTGATGGCATTTGTACCACTCCATTTTGAGTAGACAATTTAGAGGAAGGCCACAGGACACCTCATTGGAACATGATTGCAATATTTCACCCATGCTCACATTATCTGCAAAATTTTGCAAATCAAAATATTTACATAGAGTTTTGGTCAGCTGCAATGGAAATGAAGCATACTAGTTTTAACATGAACCTATTTTTACAGAAAATATGGAGATGAACTGATTTTCTTAAAAGTGTAGTTGCTCACAATTCCAACAGAGATTGCATTCCATCCAAACAGCTAGATTCTAATAATAGATTTGGAGTACATGTTAACAAATATCTGAAAGAATTAAGCTAATGCTGTATGCACATGTGCAAGAAGAGATATTTCAAAATACCGCAGAAGGCAAAATCTCACCCAAAAGATTTTAAATGCACTAAAAACTACTTATAGAACTACTTATACTTATAATATATATATATATATAATATTCAGTAGTAAATTGTATTGTACTTTTAAGTAAAATCTGATTTACTTGTCTCATATTCAATACCCTGGTCTATTTCTTACTGAAAATATAAAGGAAGTTTGTAATAGGAATTCTAATAAGGAAAAATTAGAGAATTGGGAAATATTTTAAAACTGAAAATGCTAGAAGAAATCATCCGTGAAAAGTTTAGAAATCCTCAAAACTATGTATAAATGTAATCAAGCTTGTTATGGTACCATAAAATGGTAAAAGCAAGGCCATTATTCTTTAACTCATACTTTTGTGCTATTTTTCATAATGGCTTGACTTAAGAACAATTTGTGAGCCATAACTTTTCAATCCCATTTCTTTATAGCTTTAACATTGTCTATATGTATTCCTTTTTTTCTAATAGGCATATATGCACACATCACTTTGGCTTTAGTCCATTTCACAACACTTCTTGCAGTTAAGAAACTAATGTTTAATTCAATAGTCTCCATATGTCAAATTGCTTACAACATAATTCATCTTTCATGAAAAAACATAGAACAGTCTTTGTAGCATACCCTTAATACGTTTACATATTAAACATCCCAGACTTCATCATTCAGAAGGTTTATTTAATCCACTACAGGCCTGGAGGTTAGCTTTGTTGTTATATGATTTTCAAAGCCTGATTCACGTTCAGTTAATCTTTCTGTCTGAATTTTCTTTTGCACAGGGTATCTTACAATTGGACTATCCTCAGTCAAACGGAAAAAGGGGAATTATTTGCTCGAGACGATCAAGTCTATATTTGAGCAGTCAAGTTATGAGGAACTGAAGGAAATTACAGTGGTGGTTCACCTAGCAGATTTTGACTCATCCTGGTGTGAAGGGATGGTCCAGGACATTTCACAGAAATTTGCCCATCACATCATTGCTGGCAGGTTAATGGTTATCCATGCCCCTGAGGAGTACTATCCAGTACTAGATGGCCTTAAGAGAAATTACAATGACCCAGAAGACCGTGTGAAGTTCCGATCCAAACAAAATGTAGATTATGCTTTCCTGCTTAACTTTTGTGCTAATCTTTCTGATTATTATGTCATGCTAGAAGATGACGTTCGATGCTCTAAAAACTTCTTGACTGCTGTTAAGAAAGTAATTACCTCGCGAGAAGGTTCCTATTGGGTGACTCTGGAGTTTTCCAAACTGGGCTATATTGGAAAGCTATACCACTCCCATGACCTCCCGCGCCTGGCTCATTTTTTGCTGATGTTTTACCAGGAAATGCCTTGTGATTGGCTGCTAATCCATTTCCGTGGGTTGTTAGCTCAAAAGGATGTCATCCGCTTTAAGCCATCTCTGTTCCAGCACATGGGATATTATTCATCCTACAAAGGAGCTGAGAACAAGCTAAAGGATGACGACTTTGAAGAGGATTCGTTTGACATCCCTGACAACCCGCCCGCAAATCTTCACACCAACATGAATGTATTTGAAAACTATGAGGCAAGCAAGGCTTACAGCAGCATTGATGAGTACTTCTGGGGAAAAGCTCCTTCTACTGGAGATCTCTATGTGATTGTCTTTGAAAAGCCTATTAAAATCAGTAAAATTAAAGTTATCACTGGAACAGAAGACCGGCAAAATGACATCTTGCATTATGGAGCCCTGGAAGTTGGGGAAAAGATTGTAGGGAGCAAAAAAGGGAGGCAATGTACTACTTACTTGAGACTAGGGGAGTTCAAAAATGGAAATTTTGAAATGACAGATGTGGAGCACAAAGTTCTGTTTGATATTAACTGCATGAGAATACTTGTTACCAAAAGTCAAAAGGAATGGCTGATCATTAGGAGCATTAGTATTTGGACTTCTCAGCCACCAAATCAATAAGGCAAAATTACTGAAGCTGGTCCTCCTCCTTTCGTGGTGGAGTGAATGCCATCGGTTGGGTCCCAACTGGTGTCATTCCCCAAGGAGACTGACTGACTTCCAATTATTTACTTTTGACACTGGAAATCTGGGGAAATCATAAAACAAGCAAAAGCAATTTATTTTGTACTAGTCCGCCAGGCAATATACAAACACTAGTTTGTTGGAATGTTTGAATTTTATAGGAAATGCAAACAAGTTCTCATCCATCACTTAAGATTCAGAAATCCTTCTCTTTTATTTTAATTTCTCCTTTGGGAAGAACTGCTGTACTAAACAAAGCCAATGCTTTTCCATTATTCAGAAGTTTTGTAGGCTTTGACCAGTATGTTGTCAGATGAAATTTGACTCCATCATAGCTACATATAAATTAATAATCAGATGGTAGTACATGTTTGTACAATAGTTGGTGGTGTATTTGTTTGAAAGACAGTTGTGATAATGAAAGTCCATTAATGGAGCTTCCAATTTCATTTGAGCACTGTAAGAAAACAGTGTGGTTAAACATTGTGACTTATTTTAAATGAAAATACATGTACAGTTATAGATCAGACATGACAATACTGTAAAAATAGTTAATTGCATTCACTATCCTGTCTCAACAAATATGCTTTGTTCTTCTCCCAGGGTCCTGGCATTGAAATAGGTCACCAGTTGTATTTTCTGTCACATGGGGCCCAACCCTGCAGTCCTTATTCAAGCAGTCACACGGTCAATGGGAGTTTGCTTGAATAAGGACTGCAGGGTCAGCCCCTGAGCTTTAAGGACAAAATTATCCTTTTGGATTTTCATGGCAGTAGTTTTCATCTTTAATATTCTCTCTTCCAGCACATTCAGAGCTCCCAGTGATGTCAGTGGGAGAACTGCACAAAGCTGAACACTACCGTATGGTCCAAGAGAAGAGTTTTGCACTCAGTGTTTAGATAGTGGTGGGCAACCTGGGGCCCATCAGGGTAATCTGATTGCGGGCTGCAAGACATTTTGCTGACATTGAACGTCCGCAGGCATGGCCCCCGCAGCTCCCAGTGGCTGAGGTTCACCATTCCCAGCCAATGGGAGCTGCGGGAATCAATCAGATTATCCTGATGGGCCACATGCGGCCTGCAGGCCGCAGGTTGCCCACCACTGGTTTAGATGTCCATCTCTCATCCAATGCAAATGAAAGATATATAAGGTTCAGCAGTAGAGGCTGAAGGTGATCACTGATCTTCCCTGGTTGGTGTCTCTGCAATAGCGCTGTGTGAAACATCTCCCACTATTTGCAAAAGCAAGAATCCTGGTTTTGCTGGATATGTGAGAAGTAAATACTTTGCCAAGTTAGTTTTGAATGTTTTCAGATTTTTCAATGCTGAATAAATTGTCTTAGGAGCTCAGATGATGTCCCCAGATGTCAGATGTCTCCAGATGTCCCCAGATGATGTTTTGGTCTATATATTTATATACTACCTAGACCTGTTCCTTTGAGGTTCTGAGCACCTACTGACTGGGGCTGATTGTCCTCCATTCCTATTGACTTCAGTGGGAGTTGTGAACTTTAATACTTCACAGAATCAGACCCCATATGTATACAGTACATATGATATATAAACACATCTGGATTACCATAGACTCATAGACTTTAAGGTCAGAAGGGACCATTATGATCTTCTAGTCTGACCTGCTGCACAACACAGGCCACAGAATCTCACTCACCCACTCCTGTAACAAACCCCTGACCTATGTCTGAGCTATTGAAGTCCTCAACTTGTGGTTTAAAGATTTCAAGGTGCAGAGAATCCGCCAGCAAGTGACCCGTGCCCCACTCTGCAGAGGAAGGCAAAAAAAACCCAGGACCTCTGCCAATCTGTCCTGGAGGAAAATTCCTTCCCGACCCCAAATATGGCAATCAGCTAAACCCTGAACATGTGGGCAAGACTCACCAGCCAGACACCCAGGAAAGAATTCTCTGTAGTAACTCAGATCCCACCCTATCTAGTGCCCAGCACAGGCAATAGGAGATCTTATTCTTCTTTAAGGCATTCCAAAAACTTTCTTTAAAGATACTGGGAGCTACACAAATATATCAGTAGCAGCACAGATGAACACTATATTACTAGTCTCATGAATATTGTCGTAATCATCAAATTGCATGTGCTGGTTTCAGTTGAATCTAGGAGGTAAGGATTAAATTGCAAGAATTCCTGTACTGACCAAAAACTCCAAGTGGAAGTGAACTAAATATTGTACTCTGCATACTAGCAAGCCTGACATGGCTATTTCATAAGGGCAGATTATTCACAGGTCTACAAGAAGCAGCAATCTAATTGCTTTTCCTGATTCATAAATCCTACTAAATTCAGATGCAGGTTTGGCAAATCCCTACTTACAGCAGCAATGTACTTTAAAATAGATGGTCTAGTAAATACCTTTACAAAGTACACAAAAGTGTCCCCTTCCCAAAGAGAAGAGTCTTTGTTTCTCTTGTTTCTTAATACCTACCCAGAACTCTAATCTCTGTGAAAACACGATATTTTAAATACAGTTTGGCAGTTCAACTTCAGACACCACTGCAGTTTAGCTAAATTAAAAATACCTACTAAGCTTAAACCAATACTTATCTAAATATACATGAAAGACTTGCTATTTATATTTTAAATTATTTTCCATGGTAACCAGCTAATTTTATGGTCGATCCTAATACTCCTTTAAACACACAATAAATTCTTTTTTGCTTCATTTACCATTAGTGACAAAGAAATCTCAATAAGGAACACTGAATACCTGAAAACTGGTGTAGAAACTAGCTACCTGGTTATATATAAATGTGCTGTTTCCAAAACAAATACATTTTGAATTAGCACAGATAGTAAACACAATCCCAAGGCTTTAGATGCCCATGCAATCAAAGCCATATTCAATATGAATGTTTTAGAATAAATTAAATGTTCTCTACACAAACCTGAAGTAATTTAATAGCTATTGTAAACCATAAATAGTAAATATTTTTAAAATCATTTATTGAGCTGTGCTTCCCCCTCCGTACCTTCCCCCCTCCCCCCAAAAAATCTTACCATTAATGAAGCTGGGGAAAAAGCACATGTTGCTGTGTTTACTGAAAACCAAACTATTTTGTAGTTATGACAACAATTTTTGGGGGTGAAATTCACCCCAGTGCGGAGGAATGGCACAAGGTCCCTCCCATCAGTTAAATCCCATTTAAAGCCTATTTTCATAGCTTATGTGGGACTAATGCTGTCCCTATGCATCAGGATAAATTTCACCCTTGTGAACGTGACTGGCAAATTTTATACATGATTTTTTTTCCCTGTGAAAATGATGATTTTCCCCCCTGGAATAAATTTACAAGAAGAAGAATTTTTCAAAAGTTAGCATTTTGCTATGCATCCTGCAAAAAAGCTATTTCTTAGCAAAAGGGACACTATTTAATCATATTTGTGAATTCTCGCCAACATTCCCCAAAGTACTGGATTTTCTTTTTTTTACTAGTGACTACTGATGAAGCAAATAATTGGTAGTTTCACACAGTTCTATTCACTGGTGAGTACAGGTGTTCCTATGTTTTTGTTATTGTGTATTTCTTGTGTTCATTCGTGGATCAAATGTCCAGTTCCCTTGTACTGAAATGGAAATGTAGAACCATATTTTTTAAATATGATACTGTAGCCTCCATACTAATGGATCCATTCTTCATTGGGCATATATGTATCATTCCACTGGCATTACTTGGAATTGCATATGTGCATCAAAGGGAAAATAGACTTTTTAAAATGTAATGCCCGTGGGCTTTTTTTTTCTTTACTAAGAGTCAGTTTTTTCCATCCTTATTCATAGTGGGTAGTCCCTTTGACTGGGACCAGTTGAGGAGTAAACTACTACTTAATATGAGTAAGGAGGAAGAATCTAGCCTTAATTTGCTGCAGTTTACTCTACAAACCCAAGTGAAAGTAGTTGTCTGGCTACACCATATCATTGTTTATTCCCTGTACTGTATATTCTCTAATGAAGAGACTTCACTAAGGTGCTATATGAATGTATTGTTTTTACATCAGTCTGATCTAATATGATCTGTTTTAGCATTCACCCAGTATTCTGTTGTGTTAGGCACAGTTAATGTTTTGTTTTTTTAAGAAAGCAAATGAAGATCCTTTTCTTTATTGGATTAAAAATAAAATCAAAATTAAAGTGCTTCACCTTGGAAAACTGTAAAAGGGAACATGGTTAGACATCTTATCTGCAAATACAACCGGCCTTCATTTTGAAATGTTATACCAGTCTTGGTGGAATTGACACCACTGAATAATCACATCTGACGTCTGCATTTGTGATCCCTGCATGTTTGAATGAGTTAGAAGTTAACAGCAGTGACACATTATGTATAATTAGATGATGTAAAATAACACATTCTCATATGGCACAGTGCTTTGCAACAACCAGGTGGGATATACAAGTGGATTCCAATGAAAACAACTAATATAATTCCTTTCTCTGTCAGATTCTAAATAAGGTAAATAACTTGAATCACAACTACTGTGTCAGTTTTCTCATATGCTCTCACTGAAGTCAATTGCAAAATTTCAACTGGCTTCAATGGGAGCAGGATTAGTGCTATGTAATATTCACACTTGGAGGTGTGGATTTAAAGGTTCATGAAGTAACTATTTATGCAGAACTAAAACCAAAAATCTATGGTCCTTATGTTTCCGTATTTCTTCTCAGCACTAAAGATGGTCTGAAATGGAAGTAGCCTCCTTGCTGGTTGCTCTTTGTATCATAACTCTACTGCAGTGCGACATCATTCTCACCTTGCCTCCAGAGGCTCTTCTAGGAGTTTTGAAACAGTGAATCTATTCCAGTGTTACCTAATCTACAGTATTATTTCTCAAGTGCCAGTTGCGGGTAGTACTTCTGAAAACAATATTGTATAGAGACAGGATCGATACCACCATAAATGATGATCGAGAAGAGAAAGTATCCGCCATATTAGTGTGTCACTACTATAAAACTTAGAGAAATCCAAAACAGAGTGGACCAGCTTTTATTCATTATTGGATATTTGCTAGTTATCAAACTGCCTACTAAGGGCCCAGAGTGAAATTCACCCCTGTACAGAGAGACAACAAATGGCTTATAGGTCATTTATATCCCAATTAAGCCTTGAAAATAATTAAGTGGGATTTAAATGGTTAATCAAGCCTTGTGCTGGTCCTATGCACAAAGGGGTGTGTATGAATTTTGCCTTCAACTAATGAGTCTGAACATAAAAAGCAACTTTTATTTCCTCTGTTCTCCTCGTTAGATACAGCTGTGTCTTACTTCTGTCCTTCCAATTGCTCTTTATTCAGTCATATTTTCTTTTTTCTTCCTAGCACTTTAGAAAATCAGGACTCCTGAGACAGCAGTGTTCTTAGGTTAAAAGTCTGAATTCTGGTTGGCTTTGAATTGCTGTATTTCCCCAATCTCTGTATGAAATGATCCAGTTTCTTACTATGCTTGGCAAGTAAGCCTCACAAGCATGAAGTTCAATTTTGTTGGCTGTTCCCCATCACACAGACTGTTATTAGGGCAAGGTTGTCTGGATAACTATATCAAGCAAAGCTTTTGATTTTGATTTTGTTTGTTTTTTGTGAAGTTTTTTTTTTAATTAAGTTTATTTCCCAAGGGTAAACAGATACCTTATAAAAAGTGTTGGTGTTTAATTTTTAAAACAAGGATCCAAACTTTCTTTGTGGTTATACCGTATCTTTTGCGAGCAGTTTGAAAAGATGACATTTACACACAATGCCATGGTAATAAGAAAAAACTGAATACAAGAATTAAATATATTTAGTGGAGGAAGAAACCATGTGTTGCTGGACAACTGGATCAAACGGGTATATTTCTTTTGTGGAATTGCACTTAAGCCGTTAAACTTCTTGTTTAAGGGCAGAGGAATAGCATACTCCTTCCTGTCCGCATATTGCATTAACCCTTTTACAGAGAGACATCCACATGGCCCTAGCTTTGTCCTGTTCTTGCTGCTTCAATGAAAATAATGTGTTCAACTTTAAAAAGGATTGACCTAGGCATGCTCAGAGATGTGGCCCAGAAACGATTGTATTAGCAATCTACTCAGGTCAGTGTGGTTCAGCAATGGAATAATCTTGTCTAGGTACATGAATAGAGTTGTGGCAGACATGGGGAAATAGTTATTTATCCTTGCTATAGTACCTGTAATTTATTTTAAAATAAATGAAATGACATGAAAAGACTTTTTGTGCTAACATCTTTCAGGTAGTGGTTATAGAGTGTTCTTTTAACTGTGCATACCACATTTTAGTTTATATAACTACAGCCAAAAATGCATCTTTTCAGCAATGAAAGGCATAATTTTGTAGAAAATTGGACAAATGGGGTATCTTGCAGTTCAAGACTTGTATCTACATTGTTCTGATAGCCCAATGTTAGATGAATTACCACAGAAGTTGAAGAAGGTGAACAATTGTAAAACCTTGAGGCTACTTTCCTCAGTGCAACCTGCACTCATGACAACTGCGGTTGCTAGGGCTTATTTCAGGGCCTCGCATCTCCTCTTGCTACTGCTTAGTAGCTACTGAGCGTCACTGGCTTTTCACATGAAGGCAATATTCAATTGCTTTCTGATTAAGGCAACATGTATTGCCACTTGTGAGATATCAGATCCATGTAACATTTAAATCTGTACTTCCCATAGTACACTTCCCAA